GAACCTTCTTTAGTGGGAAGATAATGTCATAAACAAGACAGAAAACAGTAAAGGAAGGACAGATTTCTTCTGAAGAAAATAATACATTTTTCCAGGGAGAAATTAAATTTAAGTGTAGGCAAACCATCTTGGAGAACAGATAGTCTTAGCAAGTAGATGGAAATTCCAGTAAAAGGCTTAAGAGAGAAAGAAAACTTGGAGATGGGGTTTTGACAGTCACCATAGTGCAATAATGAGTTTGTGAGGATATCCTCTCCTGCTCTTGTCTCCATTAGGGGAAAACAATGTAGAAGAGGGGTCTGGAGGAATGCCAGATGTAGGAAGAGCACAAAGTAATGCCACAAAAATAAAAAGAAAGGCTTTATGAAAATTTTAAAATTCTGAGGTCAAGGAAGCTGAAGACTGAGAAAGTCATTGTTAAATAATAATGAAACAGTACATAAATATAATAATATAACATATAAATAAAATAATAATAAGAGGTCAGTGCTCTTTAAGACACCCATTTCAGTACAATGATATGAAAGACATCAAATTATAAAGGATAGATAAAGAGTAAAAAATAAAGCAAAGGCGTTGAATGCATAGATTTCTTTTTGAAAATCTGACAGAGTGTAAAGATATGATAGTATGTTATGGGGTAACAAAATCCAGGGGGAAAAATATTGATTTTTTTTAATGGAAGAACCTGGATATCTAAGTATGAAAAAAGCAAATCAATGCTAAAAGAGAGATGGAATGTGCAAAAGAGATTGAGGAGAAAAGTTTGCTAGGAGATAGGAGTAGAAGGTACAGATTCAAAATAATTTTATAGGAAGATAAAGAGGAATATAAAATGTTAAAGTCAGGTTGATGTGATTTCAGGAAGGTAGAAAATATGGTGATTTCCTGCAGCTTTTCAATTTAATAAATAACTGAGTCCCTACAAAATGCCCGACACTAAAATACACAGATGAATAAGGTAGTCCCTATCTCAAGGTTTCATTTAGCTAGCATTTATGGCTCATGAAGTTATTTCAATCCTCTCATGTGACCCCAATCAATCTTTAAAGAAGCAGCAGCAAATACCATTCTTTCTCAATGTCAATGTTAAATATGAAGCCAAAACACATTAAATGAGTTGGCCAAAATCAGTAGTTCTGATTATGATGTTTTTAGATAAGAATCCAATGTCATTTTTCTCTACTTGTCACTATAAAATATGATCTCTGACATATCTTACTTAAATCTCTGATTCTTTCCAAATTTTGATTATTAATGCAAACATTAAGAAATACAGAACCAGGGAGGGAGGGAGAGAGAAAAAGGGAGGAAGGGAGGAAGGAAAGAAGGAAGGAAGGAAGGAAAGAAGGAAAAAGGAGGGAAAGAGGAAGGAAGGAAGTGACATCTTTAAAATAACTGTCAATTTTGAATCCTATACCCAGAGAAAATATCCTTCAAAGACAGATAGCATAAAGATGTTTAGAGAAAAATAAAAACTAAAGGATTTTCTGATAGTGTATTCACACTAAAAGAACAATAAGGGTGCTGTTTTTTCTTGTTGTTTTGTCAGAAGGAAAATAATCTAGGATGGAAGCATGATAATATAAAGAGGAATTAAAAGCACCAGAATTAAACTATGAGGATAAATCTATATGAACCCCCTGTTTAAAATAATAGTAATAATCTATGTCTTCTGGGGTATAAAATACATGCAGCATTAAAATATAAGGTGGCAATACATAAAAGGCAGGAGGAGAGTGCATCAAGTTTGACTGATTCATGGTCCTTTCATTGTCCAGGAAGTGGTAAAAGTATTAATGCATGGTAGATGCTAATAAGTCAAGTTTGAGTGTTGTAGTCTCTAGGTTATCTACTAAAAGAATTCCTTTAAAGAATGTTTAACAAACTAATAGAGAAGAAGCATGAAAATACGTGACAAATCCAATACTTACACAGAGCATGTAGAAGCAAGTAGCATCACAGGTTGACCAAATCTTAGAGTCTTGAAACTGAAAGAACCTTGAAATAACCTTATTAAGATGAGGATTTTAAGATAAGGAGAAGTGTCTGTTTCGAGGTCACATAATTTGCAACAGTGTCACAATTTGGACCCACCTTTCCTAATATTTGTTCTACATTGTTCATTACAGTGATTAAGTCAATTAAAACAAAAGTATTTGAGTGTTAATGAGTACTCTTTAGGAAGTCTAATCCTAAAACTCACAAGTATATGAAATGTGAATAGTATCAGATCGTCAAATAGTTGTATTTACTACTAAATAAGACAAATATGATTTTAGAATGCAGACATGGAAGACACGGTATAATTGAAAAGCAGAGTCCCCTTGCCCATATTCTGTGGACATTAGCATAGATTCCTGCAATTGGAGAAAGTTTTCTTCCACAGTTAAATAAACAGCCATGTGGTACAAGGTTGGTCTCTGTTGAAAGTGATGAAGTCACATAGAAGGTCGATCACCAAACTTTGGTTTGGTTTTTTACTTTCTTCACATGTTTGATCACAGCAAATCACAGACAAGAAACAAAGTGATGTTTTTTCCCTGTCACTCTACCTGAAATCCTGGTATAGCTCAGAATTAACAGAGAAACTGTAGTTTGAGGTTGTCTTAATGGTAGTTCAGAAAAAGCCCTTGGCAGAAAAGCTTGGAAGCAACATACAAAGGGGACCACCCAATACTCAGAAACTTGGAGGAAGAACAAAAATCCAGCCCGGCAATAGTTGCGTGTGCAAGCATTGGAGAGGATTTAGATATCATTGACCTCCAAGAAAACAATGACTTCAGCTGAAAACATGCAACAAATGGTGCATTGTTTGAGTGGCATTCTTGAAGTCCACATCTCAAACCAGTCATTTTAGAACATAAAAGAATTTCCCAATGAACCGTTAGAAAGGGTCATATTTTCCACTCAATTTTGCTGAGAACTTAAAACTGTTATTAAAAATAAAGTATATTTTACAAAAAACAAAAGGTCAGTTCTTAGGGCCAAGTGGTACAAATCAAGAAGGTGATAGAACCTGCACAGTTGTTAACGGTGCTGGTGCAGTCTGTGATCAGAAGACTTTCAAAGTCTTTGTGACCCACTGGGAAGAATCCAAGGTGGGACATGTGGATGTAAAGAGAGTTTATTATAAGTTAGGAAAGGAAAATACAAAAGGGAGAATTGTGGGGGCAGGTGGAGTCTGGAGGTGCTTTTAAAACCTTGGATAACCTATGGGGAGAGGAGAACCAGGTGTTTCCCATCCAATAATCAATGAGTGGGGTAAGGCATGGGTGATTCCCAGCCAGTGAGGGTGGTGGTCTGGATCTGGGTCCCTGTGCACCCTACATGCGTCCTGAACTTTCCCTGCTTCTAGCCTGTCTCACAGTGGCTTACACATGTACTACCAGCTTTTCAGAAGGTGGAGACGTGGAGGATTAAAGTTCATGGCAAGCCCAGTCAAAAAGTTAGCAAGACCCCCATCTCAATTAACAAGTTGAGTATGGTAGTGCATGCCTGTACCATTATTCCCAGCTCCAGGGAAGCCACAAGAGGATCAAAGTCCAAAAATAACAACAACAACAAAAACTAAAGCAAAGAAAGGACTAGGGGTATGGATCAAGTGGTAAAGCACCTGCCAACCAAGCGTGAGGCCCTGAATTCAAACCCTGGTACTTAAAAAAAAAAGGTGATGGCTTTGTAATTTGGTAAGTCTCACAAGACACATCTCATGCCCATATCTGAGGCTTGAATACCTGCTACCTTCAGATGTTCACTTGGACCAAAAGTAGGTGCTGTGTTGGGGCCAAAAAAATATAACCGGGTAGCTAAGAGTGGAAGGTTGTATAGCACAGATGAAGAAGGCTCCTGATAATCTACCACCATTGATTCAAGAGCCACTCAAAGCCCAGGATGGCATTTTTGCATTACCTTATTCACATTAATTCTAAACAGTAGTCAGACTGTAAATCTTAGTGTATTTATAGTTATTTTGTCTGTAGTAAATTCTTGTTTGAAGTGAGACTGTTTAGTACCAAGAATTAATTCCATTAAGTGCTTTTTAAGCGACAAATCCTCAGTCTACACCCCTACCAGTCTTCAGGTCTTTCCTTCGGCAAGTCTTCATGAGGCTCAGAATTTGCGTTTTTATCAAACCTCTGAAGCAGTTCAGGTGCCAGGTTCTGGGACCACATTTTGAGAATGTCTCCTACAGTTCAGGGGAACTAAAGAAGTCACCTTCTCACTTGCAGGACACCCTGACCCCAACTGTTTATTAACATACATTAATTTGCAAAGGGATTTCATTATGATAGTTCCATATATCCTTGTAATGCACTTTAGCCCTGTTCACCACCTTTGTTACTCTTTTTTATCCCTTTCCTCCCTTTTTAAAACAATTTTAATGGGTTTCTTTATTTTATTTTCATACACACAGATAAGGTACTTCACCAGATCCAAATTTAATAAAGACCCAAGAGTATCTCCTTTGTGTGAAAATTAAACTAAGGTGTTAAGGCCCACATTGGGAGGAAGGAAAGAAACACTGAAAATATTTGCAATTTAATCAATGTATAAAATATGCACATGGGGGAAATAACATTTATGATCAGTATGTGTGTTTTCCTCCTTAGGTGCAGGAAAGCAAAAGCATAAACTTTAGGTTTTCATTGTCTCTCAATTAAAAACAAAAAGGCAAAGAATAAAGCCAGATTTCCACTCTGACATAAAAACTATGACAAAAATTTTAAAAAGCACTTCATCTAGAAGTGACCCAGTACATCAATGGACTCCAAACCACACAAAGCTCTCATGTAACAGAGCTGAATGACACTGTAAACAGGAAATATGTGTTTGCTATTAATAGTAACCCATTTAATTTAGTGTGCAGTTTAGTATCTTGACTGATTTGATTTTGTATTTCTTCTAATCACAGGAACTCTACTCATTAAGTATGTAATAGCTTGAAGAGAAAGCATGACATTTTAAATTAACATTCATTTGCACCAGTCATATTTGCATCAGAAACTTAGACCCACTTCCTCATAATCTCTTTCCAGAGCTGCCAAGTCTTCCCTGGCTTCTGAGAACTCCCCTTGTTCCATGCCTTCTGTGATGTACCAGTGCAGAAATGCCTTCTTGGAATACATGAGGTCAAATTTGTGGTCTAGGCGGGCCCAGGCCTCCACGATTGCCGTGGTGTTGCTCAGCATGCAGACAGCCCGCTGGATCCGGGCCAGATCCCCTCTTGGCATCACTGCAGGTGGTTGATGGTTAATGCCCACCTTGAAACCAGTTGGACACCAATCTACAAACTGAACTGAGGTCCGTGACTTCATGGCTGCAATTGCTGCATTTACATCCTTAGGGACCACATCACCTCTGTATAATAGGCAGCAGGCCATGTACTTCCCAAGCTGAGGATTACATTTCACCAGCTGGTTGGAGAACTCGAAGCAGGCAGCAGTGATGTCAAGCACAGAGAGTTGTTCATAGTAGGCTTTCTCAGCAGAGATTATGGGGGCAAAGGCTGTGATAGGGAAATGTATTCTTGGATAAGGGACTAGGTTGGTCTGGAATTCAATTAGGTCCACATTCAAGGGTCCTTCAAACCGAAGGGACGCAGTAATGGAAGATACCACCTGACCTATCAACCTATTGATGCTGCCATAAGAGGGGTGATCGACCCCAAGTTTTTGATGGCAGATGTTATAGATGGCTTCATTGTCCACCATGAAGGTACAGTCTGAGTGCTCTATGGTGGAGTGGGTGGTAAGGATGGAGTTGTAAGGCTCTACTATAGCAGTGGAAATTCTAGGGGATGGATATACAGAGAACTCCAATTTAGTCTTCTTACTGTACTCTAATGAGAGTTGCTCCATTAAGAGCGATGTAAATCCCGATCCAGTGCCTCCTCCAAAGCTTCGGAAAATCAACAATCCCTGAAGTCCACTGCACTGTTCTGCCTAAGGAAAGAAACAGTGGGTTAGATAGTAATGGTAGGATTCTCAAAAACAAAATCAACAGGTTTCAGAAAAGAATAGTTTACCATTATCAGCTCCACAACAAATGTACCTACTCTGAAATACACCTGAATTTGGCCCTCCCCAAGTGGGTGGGAAGTTCTTTATAGTAGAGCATCTCTAACTCAAAAATCTAAAATGCCCCAAAATCTTTTGAGTGTTGACATGATGCCACAAGTGGAAGGCTCCATCCCTCACATGGTGATGAGTTGTGATCAAAACAAAGGCACACTCAAAATATTGAATTAAATTACCTGCAGGCTATGTGCAGGTACATTACCTGCAGGTTATGTTTCACATAAGGTATATGTGAAACATAAATGAATTTTGTGTTTTGACTTGTTTCCCATCTCCAAAATATCTCATTATAAATACGCAAATATTCCAAAACCTGATAAAAATTCAAAACACTTCTGGTCCCAAGCATTTCAGATAATGGATGTTCAACCTGTATAAACACAGCAAAAATATTCAACTGCCCTTTCCTTGTCCTTTGTGGATGTATCTGTATGTGATCTGAAGCACGGATTTATCAATAATAAAGAAAAGAAAATGTTGAAAAGAAAAGAGGAATGTTGTAGCATTCCTCTCACAGCAGATAAAGTGCCTATCACTTAATCTATAATGCTGATATAAAATCATTTTCTTACCTAACAATGATGCTATACCATTTATATGGCAAGGGGGTCTCCAGACTCAGGACCTTATAAAAGAATTAACTTCAGTAAATAGAGTAAATAATATCCAGGTAGGGTGTGCCTCCTGTTACCTTCCCAAGTAATGTTGACTACTGGAAAATGATACATTTTAGAGTGCTTTGGAAGTAGAGACAAGATAAACCTTGCATTAGCAGAAGCCAGAGTAAATGATGGCACCCACTAAGTATGAAGGATTCCATCACCTTCCTACATAATGAGGGGTAATCAAAGCCAGTAATAGAACCCTTTCCCAGCTCCGAGCACACACATGGAAGACCAGGGTGAGAAGGTTGGGTAGCAATGGTGGTAGTGGTAGATAATGTTGCAGAGTCACAAGTACCCATGCACACCCTGGGTGTAGAGGAAGAGGAGCCACTTGCCAGCTTTCGGATCCTCTCTAGCACAAGATCGATGATCTCTGACCCCACAGAATAGTGACCTCTTGCATAGTTGTTTGCAGCATCCTCCTTTCCACTAACAAGCTGCTCTGGGTGGAAGAGTGAATGGTACTTCCCCATGCGGATCCCATCTGCAGAGGTACAGAAGAGATCAGTGCATGCATTCAGTTCCTCTGTTGTCCCATTGCTAATTATCAAATCATCACTAATTCCTTAATTTTTAACCTTTCACAATATCTAGCAGAGTAATACTGAATTTGTATATAGGCATCTTGGTCTGACACTTCTTAACTTCATTCTCTCAATAAAACTTTTTAATCTTTTCATTAACATTGACGTCGATCAACTTTTGCTCATCAGTTTGTTACTTACTCCGGCTTTGCTCTGATAAAGAAATTAACTCCAATTTAGTATAAACAGACTTTATTTTTTTCTAATATGGGCAGACTGTATTTTCTAAAGATGGCCATGAAAAATATTTGCCATTGCATGTAGGCATCAAGAATCTTATCATTCTTGCATTAAAAGGTAAGATTCATATATCCTCTCTTGTAGGTTTTTGTGACTACCTCAAATCATTGAGAATTGACATGGTACTATGTGACTTTTTGGACTGGGTTATAGAAATGCCATGGATTTATGCTTTGTTCTCATGGGGTGCTTACCCTTGGAACACAGCCATCATGCCATGAGGAAGCCAAAGCATCCCACAGAGAGAACATCTCAAGGGAAGCCAAGGCCCCACCTGTATAACCGGCCTGTCTCAGCCAACAGCCAGCACCAACTTGGCAGCTATGTGAGTGAGCCACTATCAAAGTGGACCTCCTAGCTCCCACATGGACCTTCATATCTGGTACCATCTCAGAAAGATGTTATCCCTTCTGAGCCCTACCCAAATTGCAGATTCATGAACAAAATAGCAATTGTTATTGTTTGTCATGCTAGTCACCCAAAATGGGCTATTGCATGAGGCTGTAAGTCTGGAAAAGATCCATGTGATCTTGTTCAGATAGATTATTCCAATCTCATAACCCCATCTACTTGCTTGTTTATTTTGATTGCAGACCCAATTAAGACATTAGAATGCAAAACTTACATTACCTATAATAGTTGGTTCTAAGTCCATGAAGAGTGCTCTGGGCACATGCTTCCCAGCTCTTGTCTCACAAAAGAAGGTATCAAAGGATGCATTCTTATGTTCTGTTTGAGCATTTTCCACCTGATCCTGTTTACAGTCAAGAATAACACCATCTGGCTGGATTCCATGTTCCAAGCAGTAGAGTTCCCAACAAGCATCACCAATCTGGACACCAGCTTGACCAATGTGAATGGAAAGGCACTCCCTCTGAAATAAATCATTGTGAGTTAGAACTGAACAGACTTAGTTCAGTTGTTTAGAAAACATGAGCAGTATTATTCAGCGCTTCTGGTTGTAAATGACAGAGACCAAGCTAGCTTAAGCCTACAAGAGAAATTTATTATAAAGATAATCAAAAGAGTCCCATGGAAGCCAAAAATCAGAGTAGGGCTAACCTGTAAGGACAATTGAACCGAGGATTCAAATTCAAATTTTCATTTAAAAAGTTTCTTTCAACAACATAAATGAAGCACCTATTGGGTATTAGGCTAAGAACTGAGTTGAGACTACATATATGGCCTTGTATAATCTACATCTCTGTGTCTCTATATGTGTGTGTAGGTGTGGTATGTGGGTGATTGTATCAGGCAACTCACCCAGGAAAAATTTAGCTAGTTATTGGAAAGGAATAAATCCAAAGTCAATGTATAACCTTGTCGAATATTAGAACTTATTATTAATAAGTTAAAGATATTACCTTTTAAAATAGATACTTACTGATTAAAATTTATATATTCTATTTGCATGTGCTTTACATAGGAAGAATATTCTAAGCATACAAGCAATGGAAAATGTACCAAGGAAAAATTTAATAGACTTAATAACCCCAAATCTAAAACCTCTATACTATAACAAATAAATTAACATGTATAAAAATTTATTATATAATGAACTGTATAGAAATTTATTATATATATAAATATCAGCATTATTTTAAAATCACTTGAGACATTCACTGGATATATAGGCAAATGGCATAAATAAGTTAATTACAAAAGAAACTGAAATGCAATGACTCAGGCACAAAGTCATTCATAGCATTATAATTTATAACAGTAAAAACCAAGAACCATTCTACTTAATCCACTTAACCATTAATCTACTGTTGGATTTATTTAAAGGGCTGTATTTCAATCCTAGGGCATTATATAATCCCTAAATATTTACCAAAGAAAAAAGAGAGAGAGAGAGATGATGTGGACAATGCTTGTACTAAAACACTAAGCAAAAGCATGGAGGATGTGCAATTGTACATATAACATTTTGTCAAATACATTTAAAACAGGCATAGGGAAATCTAAAAGAAAATGCCTTGAGATACTAATTGTAATTATATGTGAGTAGTAAGTAAATTTTTTCTTCTCTAAACTTCATTATTTTCTTCTATACTCATCACAGCTTGCATTCCAACTCCACTTTTACTTTTTTTTATTTTTGCATCACTGGGGTTTGAACTCAGGGTTTGCTAGGCAGGTGTTCTATCACTTCAGCCACAGCTCCAATCCTGTTTACTCTCGTTATTTTGGATATGGAGTCCTGCTTTTTGCCCAAGATCCTTCTATTTTACACTTCCTGCCACAATTAGGATGACAGGCACATGCCACCATGCCCATTTTTTTCCATTGAGATAGGCTCTCGCAAACTTTTTTGCCCAGGCTAGTCTGGAACTGATCCTCCCAATTTTAACCTCCCAAGTAGCTAGGATTATAGGCATGTGCCATCTTCCCACAGCTAAAAATCCTTTTTTTAAAAAAAAACTCAAACGACTTTTTAAATAATTCATACAGACTCCAGTATCTACTTTTAAGAAAGAGAAAAAAAAGTTTAAAATCTAGAAATCTAAAGTGACTGTTCTGTCTGATTTTAATACTATTGTACTTTGATTGCCAGTGCTCATGGAACAAGACTGTGAAGGAGTCATAAAGTGAGGAGTCAGTCTTCAGCACGATCAAGCCCTTAAGATGTTGGACCTGGTAAGCTGAGGGGCAGCCTGTGTTTGTCCCTACATGCACTCTCTCAAAGCCTGAGATTCAACTACGGAAAAACCTCAGACCTTCCTTCCAATCACTGACTCATGGTCCACAGCAACCACTGCTCACAGGGAGACAAGAAGAGAACTCTGACTAACCACACCCTCGCAGCTGGACTTGGACTCTGTTTGTGACCAGTACCATCAAGCCCTGACCTTTGTCTCTTGTGATTTACAAGGTATAATGCAGCCTAGTTCACTTTATGAGAAATTCAAGTCCAGTATTTAGTGTAACTTCCATCTTGTTTCTTCTTTGTGTAGCTGTCAGTCTTTCATGACAAAGGCTGTGAACTTAACTTCAAAAGCATTTTGCTTAAGACCGACTAAAATTCTTACCTCTGTGGTATATAAAAATCAAAACAATACATTCCACTTTAAACAGGCTTCAAATACCCTTACCTGCAAAGCAGTTTCATTCCTCTTCCCTCCTGCCAGACTTTAAACGCTGTAACTGCATTAGGTACGTAATCAGATCAAAACTTTGTGCCCTAAATTTAAGTTAAAATTTAAAAAATAGAGGGGAGTAGTCACTATTTCTACATTATTAAATCCTCTTTTTTATTATTGTTGTACTGGGGGTACATTGTGGTATTTACAGTTCTTACAATAGTTGGGTTCACCCCCTCCATAATCTGTAGAGTTTATGTGTAGATTTCTCTCACTAGCTCCCTTCCCCAGCAATCCATCATCCTGTACTGGACTCTGTTGAGATGTTTTATTTGTTTACAATATTCACAGTAAAAATAATCACCAATAGGGTTGGAGGTGTGGCTCGAGTGGTGGAGTGCCTGCTTTGCAAGCTCAAAGCCCTGAGTTCAAACCCCAGTCCCACCAAAAAAATAAACAAATAAAGCCCACCATTTATGGCTGGCAAAGTGGCTCAAGTGGTAGAGTGCCTGCCTAGCAAGCATGAGACTCTGAGTTCAAATCCCAGTACCACAAGAAAAATAATAATCACCAATAAAAAATAAATTTCTGTTCTTCATCAGGTTCAGATAGCAGAGTAATACTGTTCTTTCTTAACTCAGCAGAAATAACTTGTCCCACCAACCCCCCTCTTTTACTTTAGGAATTGCTGAGTTTATAATATAACTGCATCCAAGGATGTTAAAGACTAGTTTCATCTTCTTCTCTTAGCCTCTCCCTGCTTTCCAAACTCTCTGGTAAAATATTAGTCACACTATAAAATAGCGTAAGATTATAACATGTTCACTAAATAGCCACATTTTATCAGTGATAGCACACTAATAAAATACAGCTACAAAACTTATTTGAATTTCTACACAGGTATACTTTGTGTTAAAAGTTTAATATCAAAATCACTGTAGATTCATATGCAATTCTAAGAAATGATGCAAAATGATCCCATGTACCCTTTACCCATTTGCCCTCAGTGGAATTATCTTGCAAGATCATAGCACACCACACCCAGATTGCTGACATTGATAGAGTTAAGAAAGCAAATATTCATTCCACAATATTCTTCATGTTGGAAGACATAATTCTTAGAAAAACAAACATTCTTAAAATGCTAAGGAGAGAGTCCAATAGGGCAAGACAATTAAAGTAGAAAAGGAAGTTTGAAAAGTTGCTTCCATTGAAGAATTTAAAAATTCTAAGATATTAATGATTGCAGTTACTTGCACAGCAGCAATTAATAGTGAAGTGAGTCTTAAAAAGTGGCCCCCAAACAGAATTATTTTAAGTAACTATATTCATTATCATAAAAAACTAAAGACAGAACAAAGAAAATGCCCTTTACCCTGCCATGCATTCATGGCCTAAAGCAATAGAAGCCCAGGTCTGAAGTCCCCAGAAACTCCAAAATTATAGATAAAAGTAAAACGATTGATTTCTATAGAAAACAGCACAGACGTTCAAAATTAAACACAAAACCTAAAATGAAGGTGAAGTTCTGGCTTTAGTATTCCAAGTAAAGGTAGTGAAGGACTGCAAATCAACTAAGCTTTATCTTAAAATAAATAGATTGACTTTTAGCCAAATCTGCTTCTAAATTGTCCACATGGATCTTGAAAGAAACAAATGTATCTTTTTTTTCAAAAATATTTTTTCTTGAATTAAGAATTTGTTAAGAATTTTTAGTGGCAGTAAAGGCCTAAATATGATGAGTAAAACTTGCTACCACCCCAAATCAAGTGTCACCGAAGCACACTTACCATGCTGATCTGACGGTGCCCACACTGCTCTGTGGTGATATTGAGGAGCAATCACTGCCAGCCCAGCTTTATTACTGGGCCCGGAAGTGACTCTACCTGCTTCACTTAAAGCAGTACAGTCCCTTTTCAATTTTTCTGTTCTCTAGTTTCAAAGTAGTAGTGTTGGGCCTAGATAAGCTGTGATAAAGTTTGTGCCAACTACATGTACATTAATGAGTTTATCCAAATCTTTTTCCAATATACACCTATGCTGAAAATAACAAATGTCTTTTAAAGATTCTCCTCTTAAGAATTTATTAAGGATTGTAGATGTAGCTCAAGAGGTACAGAGCACGCCTAGCATGCATACGATATCTATCTCTGTGCTGGATATCTAGCACCAGATTTTATATACATATATGCACAGCAAACTTTAACTGATTTCCTCAAATGCTTACCTGAAGGATATGTTAAGGGAGGGGAATGATATGCATGGAGTTGAGAAAACAAGGATTTAGAGAACATTTGTGATGTATTCCATCTGTCCTAAACAGAATAAGACAGTGGATTTGGATGCAAGGACATTTAGACAAAATTGATTTCTTATAGGTTCATGGGATTTCAGCATTCCTTTCCAAGTCTTGAATGACCAACCTTCAATATATAGTCCACTTTCTTTTGTTCTGCTTCTTTGTTGCCCAGTAATTTCCTGCTTAAAATGTGTCATCTATTCCCTATTTCGTATGCCAGCATTTAGCACAGGGTCTAGCATATTATTGTAGGTATTCAATAAATACTTGTAAATATTTGAACAAAATAAGTCCTCAAGTGAACAAAAATTGGTTGTCCTACTAAAAACAACAGTGTTCTTATCACTGTAAAGTACCTCCCACTAAATCCTCACACCAACACCTTCTAGTACCTATTACTTTGACAGTGATTATTACAAGTTCCTGAAGGACTGACCACCTCTGTTGACACTATCACAACCAGTTTCAGGATCTGCAGAGCTGAGGACAAACTGACTTCCAACTATCTCACCTGTTTCTGTGGATAAAAATGTGGTTTCATCCAAACATCTGCATTGTACAAAGCGCTGTCTGGATAGAGATCAAGTGCCTGGATCACAGTTCTGTATTCTTACACTGCAACAACTAATACTCTCTCCTTTAGTTTCTTTGGAGTGAGTGTGAGGTGGAATAGAGGTAACTGTTACTGAAGGGCATCTTACTCTCTAATCTCTTATTCTTTTTTAAACTAAAACTTTTTTTTCATTTTGTTGTAAAGGTAATATAAGTTCAGTATCTCACTGTCATATAAAAATTATTAAATACAAGAAAGTAAAAATAAAAATGTTTAAATGTCCAAAGTCTGACCACTTGGAGGCATTTTAATATATCAATTTCACCTTTCTCCTCTGTATAATCTCTTGTAATTCATAACTGAATATATTCAATATACCACAATATTCTTTTTTTTTTTTTTTTTTTATGGAACTGGGGTTTGAGCTCAGGACTTCCCACTTTCCAAGCAGGCACTTTACAGCTTGGGCCACACTCCTGTCCATTTTGCTCTGGTTATTTTGGAGATGGAGTCTCGGGAACTATTTGCCCAGGCTGGCCTTGAATCAGTTTTTCTAGTAATTAGGATTATAGCCATGAGCCATCTGCACCTGGCTTCTATGTTTTTACTTAAAATTACAATATATTATTCTAATACACACTTCACGGTTTATTTTTTTATTGACTGAAGATATTCTTCCCAGTAGATGAGCTGCAATTTGTGATTTCTCGATCAATATTTATTTAGATTGTCTTTAGTTTTTCTGTTACAAGCAACAATATCATCAGTATCTTCATGTACATATCCTCATGTACAAATGTCCAGAAATGGAATAATAGTGACTAAGGAAGACTATTTTTAAAGTCTTTGACACATATAATGCAATATTTAACATCAAAGAATGTGTTCATTTGTTCAGCAAACGAATGGACTTAAAAAGGTCCATTTATTTTATGCTGTGCCTTTTGCTGCTTTCCTACAAGCATCTGACAAAGCAACTTCGATTCTATTTTGATAAGCAAAAACCGGCTCCTACTTATTGGAAGACAGGAGGACTCATAACCAGATTTCACTGGTTCCCTAGAGACAACCCTGAGAACAAAGCTCCATGATCATCGATAATTGGGGATATATTTCACATAATATAGTGCTTAATGATCCATAATTAAGCCTCAGTTCAGTTCATTACTTTTAATTCCTCTCTCCCCCAAAACTAAGTAAGATCTAGTGATCTAAAGCACTTCCAGTTCATTCGCCTTGGTTTTCAGTGAAATTCCTAGTAAACAGAGAAAAAGTACTAGGCCTTGGGAGATTCGTGGACGGAGTCAGAATTAAACCCAAGTATTTGTAATTCCCATCGTACTATTCCCCTCCATTCCCCAGGATACTTAAGGTCAGTGGTAGCCTGGAGAGGGGCGGGACTCCACGTCTCCCAGCAACCTCCCCCTGCTCCCTGATTGGCTAATCGCTACGCAGCCGCCATTTTCAAATCCCCGGATGATGGTGGCGGCTTTGCCTCTTTGCTAGCAGGCGCTTGCTGCCTGGCAGAAAGCTGGCGGGCACCGTGCCCGTGACTGTCGGTCTCCCGGGCACTCGGCCACCGCCCCGGCCCCTCCCCCACGATATGGAGCCAGAGCTGGCGGCTCAGAAGCAGCCTCGGCCGCGGAGGCGAAGCCGCCGGGTTTCTGGGCTCAGCGCGGATGGCGGCGCGGGTCCTGCGGTGGACACACCCGGGCCGGGGGCGGACGGGAGGTGAGTGCGGGGTCGGGGTGAGGGCACGGGCCGGGGTCGGGAGGAGCCGGGGGTCAGGGGCCGGAGTCGCGGCCCCGGCCCGGAGCTGGCGCCCCTGCGGAAGCCGGGCAGTGGGAAGGGCGGGCCTGTTGACGGTCTCCGCCCGACGCCTCCCGCTCGGGCTTAGGAAACGCCGCTCGGGCTGAGTCCCCGTCGCCCCACAGTTTGTGGCTGCGGATGCTCTGGCCGAAACTGGCATGTTGCGGGTGGGGAGCAGAGGAATGGGCGCGGGAGCAGGCACTGGACTTGCAGTCTGGAAGCCAGCGCTTGCATGAGACGTTTTTCGGAGGTCAGAGATGGCCTCTGCGAACTCGGCTTCAGGCTCCCTGAGAAAAGAGATCAGAGGACGGTCCCCGGCTGTTCAGTTGTCTGCATGTTTCACTTTCTGCGGGTCTGAAAAGGAAAAGTACCAAAGGCTGTTTTCCATTGCATTGTTGGAGGTGGTTCCAGTTACAAGTTGTGTGACCTGTCAAGTTCCTTTAACATCTCTAAGGCTATATCCTGGTCTGTGAATAACCACTAACAGTTCCTGCTTCCTATAAGGGCATCCCGAAATTCAGTGAGATACGAATGTTAAAATGCTTAGCATGTGACACAGAAAGCGCTCAATACGTGTAAGCTGTTACCTGTCAGTTTTTATAAGAAAAGTGATTCCATTTCTCCTGCATCCTTTCGGCAGTCTCTGTGGTCCACTCAACATTATTTTAAACTATAGTCCTTTGCATAGCCCACATTCCACTTAAGCCTGGATATGGCAATACCTTCTGGAGAAATAAGAAAATACCTTACTTTCATCAACAAGGTATTTATTAAACCCACTGTAAGCTACTCTGCAGAAAGCTAGACTTTTTCATTCGGTGCTGATTTTTATTAGTTGGAAGTTTAAGGTAATCCTTACTTGAATATACTTTTCTGAAACCTCTATACCAATTATACCCTGTGTTTAAGAGGTGGTGAAAGAGGAGAGAGAAAGAAGTCATCCCTGACAATGAGAAATGGAAGAACCAGGGAAGAATTGTTATGGGAGAAGGAAAATAGAAATTTCAAAAGGATCCAATGGAGGCAGTGTTAAATGCATTCTACATTCATTCAGTAATATTGTTGGGCACCTGCCCTGCTATCAGACATAGTTGTACATAGTAAGAATTCTGGTGAGCAAAACCAGATGAAGTCTTTGTTCTTACAAAACTTAAATTCTGTTGGTGGAAAAGAACAATAGTCAGATAAGCACATAAAATATCAGGTGTCACATTTTGAAGTGAATTAAGGCAAGATAAGAAGGATAGAGATGGTGCCTGTTTTTAAAAGAGCATAAGGAAAGTCTCTGATGCTAACAGTGAAGTTGGAACAGAGACCTGAAGGGAGGAAGGAACTAAAACCATATGAATATTTGGGAAAAGATTGTACTAAGCAGAGGAGCAACAAGTGCAGAGA